GATGATCTTTGTCATCAGGACATGTTTGTATTGTCTCATCCAGAGCCAGAGGGAGTAACATCTGAAACAGGCAGAAGAAATGACATTCAGGGAATCGAGGAGGCCTGAAAACAGAGGGCCTGGTGAGTGTCAAATATCTCCATGACACAGGGCAGGTAAGGGGGTCTTTGTTGGTAGAAGCCATGACAAGACTTGGGTACTTGCAGTTGATTCCTCTTCCTTGGGTTCAAGACATTACCCCTTTTCTTTACAGAGAGACCTATGGCATCAGATGAAAACTGGGAGTGAGTGGAGGAGAAAATTTTAATCATAGTGTTGGTGTTAGGCTGTGAGATGAATAACGTAGGAGCTGTCAACAGCCTTTGGTTGGCACAGGAATTCAGAATCTCAGGGAGAATAGCACCACTTCTCCGTTGATTGGTGACAGGTCTGAAGGAATTATTCCTGCAGTTCACTGAGGGTGTTTTGAAGACATCATTTTCCTAGTTAGTAGGTAAGCAGGAGTTGGTATCACCTCAGACCTGTTTCTCTACATATAAGGTCAGTAGCTGATGTTATTTCACAACTTTTCTAAGCTAACAAGTGCGATATGACTATGACACCACAGCAGTCCAAGTTGTAAATAATTCGGATGCTCTGGGTGGGAAGGTTCACTTCTATGATGACTTCCTCTGTCACAAACCAGCGCTGGCCTGATCTGAAGGCCGGATTCATTTGGGGGTGACAACTGGCGCTATCTATCCATGGCTCTTCCAAAGTTTAGGACTCAAAGTGGGATGGTCCTGGAGAGCAAGGTGAAAGCAGGATGACCTTTTATGATCTAGCCACAAAATTCCTATCATTGGCTAAAGTAGTGACAAACCTGCCCAGATTCAAGGACGTAGATCCTTCTTCTACATGAGAGTCAGGTCTTAAAACTGCTACAATATCATTCTACTTGTAAATAATTGTATTTTTTCTTATTATTAACAAATTACCACAAACCATTTCTTCTTTATTTTGAATTTCCACCTTGGTCTTATTTTCAGTCTCTAGCTACCTCTTCAGGGAATATAGTTATTGGAACAGTTGGCCCTTGTTTTGCCTCTTAGTCTACAGAGACATTTCTCAGTGAAAAACAGGCTTCTATAAATTGCCAAAGGTGGCACTCATTGGGAGAAGCAGGGGACCCTGCCCCTTGACGCAGCCTAGAAACCACCTGGGCCTGGCTTTCATCTTGTTAATACTGAATTAGGCCTTTATTTCCCAAACAAAAGATGGGTTCTAGCCCTCCTTTACCTCTTGGGCCCAGAGAGTAGAGTAGATTAAACTCCTTGGGGATTAGTCCAGAACATTTTGAAAACATCTGTGATGTTTGTTACTTTGGTTTAGATATCTTTCCAGAGCATTGAGAAACAAGTCTAAAAAGAAGAAAGGACAAGGATGGAGAGAATCTTGCGGTACAGAAGAGACTGGTGAGCTGAGATGCGGTGAGAAGATGGACAAAGGCAACCATGGTGCGTACAAAGGAGAGTGGGCAGAGCCAGGGCAGGGCTGGGCACTTGCTGCCTTCACCCTTCTGGTTTCCAACCCAAGGGCCTTCCCCTCTACTGGCAGCTACAGACTGGGGGTAACTGGAGGCTGGGGGTGTGGAGTGGGGTCATTACATGGTGTCATGTTATGAGTTGCACATGCAGGATGCCTGGGTTACACGGAGATTCAGGCTCTACGAGACTAGATCCATTCATTGCTCACTTGTTAGGGTTGATTGTGTGGAAATGTTTTGAACAGTGATAGGAGGTGACAGTCTGTTAGTGTTAAAGCTGTGAGTTCATGGAGAGCTCTACAAAGTAATTCCTACCTCCAAGCAGATCTGATGTTTTGCTACAGCTGTTCTGACCACATAGGGCTGTTCCCCAGTGGCATCTCGGGTGCAATGTACATACCTCCACCACACCTTCATTGAAAAGGCCCATGACATCATGTCAAGGAGTATGCTTTAAGGAAATGATTAACCATGGAGGGAGAGGTTAGGAATAATTGTCAGTGGGGCATTAAGCCTAGCTGGTTCCTTCTATCAAGAGCAGAGCTATTTATGAACCACATTGTTCCCTTTCTCTTCCTCAGAGCAGACTTTTCACCAGTGATTTGACTGCACAGATGACAAATGTGATGTTGCCACACAGCTAATATCTTGAGCCATGTGTCTGATCTAGACCCAGGGGGCAGGATGGAATTGGGAGGCCTGGGCTACAGCCATGGCAAGAGTGACAGGTCGACGTTCTAATCACTATTTTATTCATCAAACATTCACAGGACTCTGTGGTCTGCCATCACTGCATCTCACCAGAGGGATGGACATGAGCGTGCAGTGGCCATGGGGCGTCTACACAGAGCAGAAGCCTTAAATGCTCTTATTTTTTGGCACAAAAAGTCCACAGCTAGGGTGATAATCTTGTGGAAATAACCTAATTTGTAGAGAAAGACTTGTGCAGATAGTTAAGAACAAATGTTGGCTCTAGTCATATGTGCTATTGTACAATAGTGCATGCTGTTATCACTCACTAGGTTGGTGTTGACTATACTAGGCAACTCCTAAAAATACTGGAATGGTTCTGAAAAGTATACAAAATGAAGTATATATCATGATGACAATAATGCTCTGACACACAGTAAAAAGAAAGAAAAAACAAATAAGAAAACTTGCCCATTTTTCTAGATAAGTAAGCCTAGGGAAAAATGCACTCGAAAGAAAACCAAATTGTTAATGGTGGGGAGGCATAGGTGATCATTTTTCTAACTGTAAGGTAGCTTTTAGCAGAAAAATTTTATTCAGATTATGCTTCAGAATTCATATATGGCACAATAAGATAGGAAAGATACAGAGGAAAACCTCCACATCCTCATTTGTGCTTGCCTTGCTGCCTACCCAGCTTCCAAAAATGAAATAAGTTTTTTTTTGTTTTTAAAGTTTTTTTTTTTTTATCTATACATACAGAACTGGGGTACAGGCCAGAGATGTAGGGACGGTGAGAGCATTCACCAGAGACAGAGCGGGGAGCAGTACAGGCAGATCGGCCAAGTACACTGCTGAGGGGAGCAGCGGGCGGGTCAGGAGAGGTCTGCCGGCCATGTGGGTCACCCCCAGGGCTGGGGATCGAACTGAAGCGGCTGTGGCTGGCTTGCGGTGCTGTGCTTTAACCCACTGTGCCACCTGGGAGGGACTGAACTAAGTTTTATTTTTATCTTGTGCATTTTTAAAATTAGCTTTTACTACTTTTGGGGATGACCTGCAGATCATGTTACAAATTATGTTAAAAAATTTTTATTAAAACTCTAATAACATTGCTCTTCTTTTGCTCCTATGCAGAGACTCCCTCCTTTGTCTGTGGATGAGACTTTGTGAAGATGTGACGCGTGAGCAGTAGCAAGTGTTCTGTAACCATGAGGTGACAAGCCCAAGGAAGAAAAGCCAACAAAACGGCAGGAGAATGTTTTAAGAAGATGGAGTCCTTGCTGACATCATTGAATAGGTTTGCTTCTGTCACACAAACCCTGGGTATGCCCATCTGTACAATAAGGAAAAGGAAATGTTTAGGATTTCTTTGAGTAAGGACTCCCTTTTTAAATCATTTACTCAGTTTGAAAGGACTCATTGTTATAAGAGTTGAGTACACTATCATTTAGTTGTAAGTTATCTTTGGACTGTTGCAAATAAACTATGACAAAAACTGTTCTGCATAAAATTTTCCTGCATAAAACTGTCCATAGGACAGATCCATGGCAGAGCATTTTGCTGGTGAAAAGAGTAACATTTTCAGGCTCATCGTTCATATCAACACCCAGTTAGCTCAGGCAACTCAGGGACGACTGCTTTGCGTCACTCAGCCCACCACTAGTGATGTCATTGCTAGGAATGTCTGGGGCACCATGTATGGCAAAGGCCCCTAGGAGTCCCCTCTACCAGAGTCATGCTGTGGACCGGCCCTCATGGTTATTATGACTGCTCAGCAACAGCCATCAGCGACTTTGAGGAAACAGGTTTCTTACTCGTAGGTGTTCTGTGAGTACACGACACATCCACAGCCACACAGCAGAGTTTAGGGAAAGAGAGAGGGGAGAACCCTGGGGTTTTTTCCTCACTGGGATTGAGGGCTTATCACGGTTTTGCAGGCTTGCCATTTATTGATAATTTAAAACTTCAGAGCAGAAATAAAAACAGGGGAAGAACCAAACAGGGTCACCCAGATGGTCAGTTACCTAGGTCAGCCAGGACTCCCGAAAGGGCAGCTTCATGGGGGAGGGGGCCGCCTTCTACACGAGCTTTGTAGCTGGCAGTGATTTATTCTAGATGGGCATCTTTGAAACCAGTGCCTCAGTCATCCAAATTTAATATCTGGGATTTATATTACAATCAAAAAAGGTAATTATCAGGCACTTACACTCATTGTAATATCCACTTATTCACTATAATATTATACTGATTACAGAGACTGATGAGAGAGCTGATGTCTGAAGAGCAGCCTCAGTCTTACTCCTTCTGTCGCTGAGGCTCCCCCTTTGCTGCTGTCTCCATCCAGGGTGCTAGTTGTGCTCCTCCAGGCACCACAGCCTCCTCCTCTGTCCTGTCTAAGCCACTGGCCCATGTGGGTCAGGTATCAGAAGTGGCGAAATGCTCTCTGTGGAGATCTGGTCTTGTGAGAAGGCGCCTGCGAACTTGGTCTCGGGGTCACACTGGCATCTCACCTCCTCTCATTGCGGAAACCATTTCCCCATAAAGTAAGCAACTTGCAAGTAGCCTGACCAGTTGTGGCAACCCAAAGCTCTCCTGTTTTATGCAACTCACAGCATGACACCAACACCATAAAAACGCCCCCCACTCCAGGTTCCTATCTTCTCATACCCAACACACTTATAAAGAGAAAGTATTTCCTGGACCCCAGAAGGAAGTGGAAGCTACGTGACTTCAAGTCCCAGCTCTGCTTGGCCCTGCTTGAGCCTGCACTCCGCTACCTGGCATCATGGAGGTCCCTGCTGCTGCCCTTGCTTTCCTGCTCCTCACCGTGGCCCTCTCTTCTCAGCCCTGCTCCACCTCATGTGAGTCTGGTCACTCTTATTTTCTGTTTGCTCTGTCCCCTAGTCTTTAATCAGGCTGTGGACCATAATGCCAAAGTCTTGAGTCTGAGTGCCTCTAAGCAGCCAACTTCAGAATAACTTACTGAGAATTTTCCCTCCCAAGAGGTTTTAGCAATCCTGTACTGCTCTGGGAGGGAGGGCGGGAGTAAGTCCTGTCCTATGCATGGGGAAGGGAGGCCCAACTAGGATTTTGACCATAGGTAGAATCTGTGTCCGAGTCTATCCATCTGCTTTCCAGTGGAGTGGCCTGGGCTCTCATCGTGAATTCCAGATAGAACTCCCCAGGAAGAGAGAGAGAGAGGGAAAAAAAAAAATTTGCTCAGAACATGAAACTGCCCATGGAGAAACATGGAGACACCAAACCAAGACAGAGAATGAGAAACAAAAAAAGACATAGAAATAAAAATAGCCATGAAAGTAGAAATGCTAGTGTCCATCCTGGGTCTCATCCCCATACACCTGAGCCGTGCCGCTGACCTTTGGGGAGAGCTTGCTGGCTTTTTCTCCTGAACAACCACTTAGGCTCTTTCTGCCCTTTCTCTCAGTTGGTGCCAACATCCCGACCGCCTGCTGCTTCTCCTATAGATCCCGGCGGATTCCGCTCAAATTCATAGTGGACTATTATAAGACCAGCAGCCTCTGCTCCAAGCCCAGTGTCATGTAAGAGCCAATTTTCCTGCCCGTGCTTGGGAGAAAGCCTGGGAGATCTGGGGTGAGGGGCCCCTTTTTTGAAGACTCAGGCTTCTAAGACTCTACAGAGTACAACACGTCATGGGAGACTCCCCTGATGAGACTGGGGCCTTCAGAGAGCCCTGGAGGACCTGCCCTGGGCAGTAACGGGAGAGTTACTGCAGGAAGCTGGCTTTCTGAAGGGAGCCCCAGAAGAGATGCAGGGAAGCTTCGTGAACCCTAAAGTTAAGAAACATTTTATGATTGAGTGGGTAGGCCGTGAGGTGTCTGGGACAGAGCAGGAGGAGGGGTCACAGTGGGCCGGGATTACTCTGTGTGTAACCCTCCTCTCCTCTCCACAGCTTTCAGACCAAAAGAGGCCGGCAGGTGTGTGCCGACCCCAAGGAGTACTGGGTCCAGGGATACATCTCCCACCTGGAGCTGAATGCCTGAGTTACCTGTCAGCTGCAAGGGAGGACTGGAGAGCAGGCCCTGAGCCTGGGCAGAGTGACCCTGGAACCTTGGAAGTCACCTCGCCTGTAGGTCACCCTCCCACCCCGTCACTCTCTGAGGACCTCCTTAACTTCCATTGTAGTTTATCTATCTTGTTTAACATTTGTCATTTATTTCTGTGGTTAAACTATGACAATATTTCTCTGGCATCTTATGACAAGCTCTTCACTATCCAATATGTGGATCAGTAAGTGTGATTAGCTCTCTCTCTCTCAGCAGAAGTTGAGACAGATTCATATATATATCAAACAACAATTGGCTATTGAATGGTTTAACCCAGCACTGCACTCAAAACTCTGAAGGCACTTACATAAAATAGGTAAACCAGCATGTTCCTTGTGCTGATGCTATTGATTTTGTCTCCAAGTGATCAGAACCACAGCTTGAGAGGAAAGTTGGGAGAGAGCAGGGACATGTGAAAAGGGAGCAGAAACCACGAGAAAGGGCCCAAGCACAGCGAACCCAGATGCTTCTCTGGAGATTGTTTCCTGGAATGTTGAAATGGACACATGATTTTGGAACCAGATCATAATCGAGGGGGTCTAGGATCCTTTCCTACCAAAGTGAATACGAAGGCAATGGCAATGGCAATGCACGGGTCCGTGTTTCTGCAGACATCCGCATTGAGAGGGACGGTGGGCACTTGCTGAGGGCTGGCCGAGCACTGGGTCTGTGCTTACATGAGCGGCCATCTGGCAAACCTTGCCCGCATTCCAGTGAGGACCCCTGCCTGGCCGTTGGCTGAGGACCTTGGTCAGCCTCTCTGCTGTTCTTTAGCCTCTGAGAAAGTGTTCTCCAGAGTCATAATTGAGGTGTGATTTGGGTGTCAGCATTAGCAAATGAAAATACAGGATGGGTCCTGTATTTTGTCAATCTTGTATCTTACCTGACACCCCTGCTTGAGGTGACCAGCTCTGGTAGAGGCTGTTTTCTGTTGGAACTTGGTGCCTGAGGATTGGTGGACATGTAAAACAGTGATTTTCAACCTTGAATTCACTTCAGAATCACATCAGGGGAGCTTTTAAAAATGCCAGTGCCGGGATATTACCTCCAAACTGTGTGATTTAACTGGAGCTTGGACATCAGTAATTTTAAACTCCTGAGGTCACGCTAATGCAGTTAGCTGGAGCACCATGTTGGGGAGCAGGCACAGGCAATTTTGGGCCAGGGATGGGGTTTCAGAGGCTGTACTGCTCCCTGCAAGTCTTCTGGCTTGTTTTCAGTTGATTCCATTCGATGGCTAGTTAGAGGCAGGAGTCCAATCAGATGCTGCTGTCTCTTCTGAACTGGCTTGGGGCTGCTGCTGTCGCCATGCAGTCGGTCTGCACGCTGCTCATCCCTCTTGCCACACCCTCCCCTGCTTTGCCCTCTTCCACATTGCCCTCTGCTGAGGAAAAAGTGCTGCAGGCCGAGAGGTCATGCCAGGAGTGTCCTGCCTCTGACAGCATCTACACTGCTCCTCTGCAAAGAACATTATTGTTCATTTTGTCCAAAGCTAAATATTTGAAAGGAGGGTGTCCATGGAGGGGATGGAGCAGGTTGTTTATGGATTCCTACTTTTTTCCCTCCTAGTTAAACACTTCAGCTTGTACTCACATTAACCTGGAGTGGCAATTTCTGCTTTTCCACCCCTGCAAACTCCAGCTCCCTGGTGCTCAGTCAGCTTGGTTTGCAGTTGCAAGCAATGAGCGTCAGGGAACAAGGGCCTTTCTTAAGCCAGCTCCTTGTTCCTTCTCTGCTATCAGACCAGCCAATTTCCAAGTTAAGTGTTTCTCTTTTTTAATGGACCTTACTAATTTAGCATTTTCCTTGAGCTGCCATCTTGGCAGGCAGATGGCCTTAGTAGGAATATGTTACAGGCCATGGGGGCTACCAGTCGTTGTGCTAGAGTTTTCTTGCTGACCTCCAAGCCAGTCCCTACTCTCAGTCAGTTATATTTTTGGGGCTTGCTATTTACATACAGCACTGCCATCTATACCAGTTAGGGCGTTTCTGCTTGCATTTTCCTATTTATTGCCTTGCTGGGAGATACCCAGGGCCTCATCTGTTGGTGAAGGACAGCCTTCCTGAGTGCTTTCTCAGCCAGGTGCCTCACCCAGCAGAAAAACTGATTTGATATGACTTAACCAGTAAAGGGAATTTGTTAATTCATGTAACTGTAGCTTCAAATTGCTTAGGCAAAGCTTGAGTCAGTGACCCTTAAGAATCACCCAAAACCATGTTTCTTTCTGAATTTCTCAACTCCATTTAATTTGAGAACATTATCCAATTAGAGAATGAGTCGTTTTGTTTGCAGACACCTGCAGTTCTTATAAGTTACCCTCTTGACTCGCCTACACTGGGCTTCTGGAGAAGTACTGACCTCTCCTCCATGAAGGTAGAGCCTCGAGGCTGATTTCTCTCCTTCCTTTTCTCATGTACACATATATAATGTATACATACCTACACACACACACACACACACACATTTCTGTTGACTCGCCTGAGCCAAACTGAGGCAACACAGAGAAAAGACTGTTGGGGGCAGCTGCAGTTCCACCATCTTGTGAGTGTCCTACTGGTCAGGAGACTCTGTGGTAGGTAGCTGGGCTTGAGCCTTCTTCCCTCAGAGGTTGAGGACTCAGATGTCCCTTGTCTGGGAAAGACTGTGTGTGTGTTGATTGTGTCGGCATGGTTACTAAAAGTACCTGTTGGTCTCTCAAAACTCTCGTGCCAGCAATAAGAGAGCCACTGCTTGGAGGGTGCCTCTTGGGATGGCCCTAGGGCTACTTTCCAGACAGGCAAAGGGTATGATGCTGCCTGCACGTCACCTGTACATTCCTACAGCTGGCGCAGGCCTGGGTGTGTTCTAAGAGCACGCCTTTTCTTAGAGTGCTCAGGCTAGCAGAGGTCCAGGTGTGCTGTCAGCAGAGCGAGCTGGGAGCAGAGGTGAAAGATGCTGGACAAGAGTGGACTATCATGCATCAGGGAACCACGAAGAGAGAGGACATACAATCTCTACCTCAGCTAAGAAACACACACATCACCCAGTAGGCGTGGGGGCCTTCCATACGAAACAGAGAAGTAGAGATAACAAACAGAAGGAGTAGGGAATGATTTTATGGGCAGTTAAGAGAACTTTTTTCTACTCCACATCATATGCATAGACTACTCTTCCCATCAGGCCAGAGTTTTGAAAAGGTATTCGGAATCAGGCTGAAGCCTCATTATATCCTGTAGGGTAAATGATGTTAGGCTTTTATGCTGCTGGCCTCTGTGACTAACCCCTGCAGCTTGAATGCAGGAGGCGCTTGGGAGCGTGGGCCTGGGGCACGCATGCTTGATGGAAGACACCTGGAGTGTGGTGTGGGCATGCGTAAGTGGGCACAGCTGAGCCTGGAGGCAGGCGCTGTAAGGGCAGCGTCACAGAGACAACGGTTGCACTGAGAACAGCCATGAGCAGACAAGCTGCGATGGCTGCGACAGGGAGAGCCACATGATGACACCTGAGCGAGCCCTACGAGAAAAAGTAAAGACTTGCCAGGGGCTTGAGGCCTACCAGCCATCCTCCTCTTGCCCCTTGCTGACCCCCTGCCTGCCCACCCTGTGCCTGGTTATCACACAACAATTGGAGTATGAAAAGCATGAAAGGCTGAAAAAGGGGGTGAGGGCTCCGGGACTCTCCTTTACCCATTTTCCCCAGGTGAGTAGAGAACCTGCCCCGGGCCTTGTCTATCGACACATCCCAACTCCTTTCAGCCTGTTTTGCACTGGTGGTGAGTGTGGTGGGTGGGAAGAAAGATGAAACCAACTTGAGAATTGGAGTTTAAACGGAAAGAATTTTTTTAAAGATTTATTTATGCATACAAGAACTGGGGTACAGGTCAGAGGTGCGGAGAATGAGAGGACACTGTTGAAGGGATCAGTGGGTGGGACAGGCGAGGTCTGTTGTACCGCGTGGGTCAGCTCCCTGGCTAGGGATCAAACTTGTGCTGCAGTGGCTGTGGACAGCTTCCTAGTGCTGTGCTTTCACCCATTGTGCCACCAGGGAGGGCCCTAAACTGAAAGAATTTTTTTTTTGCAAAAGTTTATTTTTACATCATTTTGTACATTTTTTTTTACCATCTCAATTGTAATCCCCGCAGGTTTCCCATCATCAAGTCACCCGTGTGCCATCACCATAATCCCGTGCACTTCCCTCCCCACCCCACCCCCATTTTTGGTCCCATTCCCCACTCCACCTCCGCAAAATGTCTCTGGTATATGGTTGTTCATTATTTTTGGTATTTTCTCGCCTGGTCCATTATACTCCTGCTATGAGTGAAACCATCAGGTATTTTTCTTTCTCTTTCTGGCTTATCTCACTAAGCATGATCTTTTCCAGCTCCATCCAAGTTGCTGCAAAAGACATGTGTTTCTCTTTTTTGGCTGCTGAGTAATATTCCATTGTGTATATATATATATATATATATATGTACCACATCTTTTTTATCCAGTCATCTACTTTTGGGCATTTGGGCTACTTCCATTAAAATGAAAGAATTTTTATAACTGAATGTGACTAGAAAATTAAGGGATCTCTCTGAGATATTGAAGTGGAACAAATGATGGTTTGGAAGTTTCACATTTTCTGTTTATACTCAGTGAGGGTCAGGGTAGGATAGACGGTATAGGTAACAAACTCTTACCGACTTAAAAGTTTCTCATGGGCACAATATCTGATGTTGGTTAGATCTTGGTTTTAAAATTATAGTGTGTACCCAAACCACCTGCATTTTAAAATGGATTCCTGAGCCCACCCACAAGACTGACTCTGTTCACCTGGGATATGGCTCACATGTTAGCTGTTCCAGGGAACTCCAGTGATGCTGCTGCTGCTGCTGCTGAGCTATGAACTATACTTTATATAGTATTGACACCAGAGAAACGATGCTCCATGTGATGACTCATAAATCCAGGCT